ACAATGGGAGTCCATTGGGCCTCGTTATATATAATGGTTGGTTTAATTTGTTTCACTTCTATCTTGTTAATTGTAAATTGATCATTAAGATTTGAATTCTAATCTGTCACCAGGGTTGTGGGTATTGAGGCTAGAGCAATGAGCCCGGTTTTAATCACTGATGATGAGAAACAAATTTTATAATTTTGGTACATATTGCAGTTCATATATTTTAACACTGTACTTTATGGTGTTATAAATATTGTTAAATGACTTTTAGTGTAGTTTTAGTGTGTGGACTATAATGTATAAATTATATTACTGTTTTGGCAACAGTAGGTATCCAACTGTGTGAGTTTAATTGAAGTAAAGAACACACACCCAGCTGAACTAGTTTTTTTCTGCATGTTTAGATGCTACAAAAATTATATTCTGTAAGAGGAGACTGGTGTCAGACTCTGCTAATCGTTACCAAAAGTCAAATGAGAATCTAGAAGAATAAAAAATTAGGGGTCATGTTTTCTCTTAAAAAGCAATTATCGCTGTAATCCTAATGACAGTAAAATATTATATTTCATGCCAGTGCAATTACACACTGTTGCTGGTATATAAAAACGCAGGGGAAAGTTCATGCTTCTGTAAAGCCAGAATTTACCTACATTTTCTATGAAAATGGGTTAGAGTCAATTATCCTTCTGTATGACACTAGAATCGTCCTGCCACAGATGTAATCTCAGACTAACCCAGAAACTTGTAAGTTTACTCTTTCAACTTTGCAAACTATTCTTTCATTCAATATACCACTGGCTCAAGGCAGATAAAAGATCGTGTCCATGTACATTTATCAAATTCTTTTTGAACATTGGAAGTTGGTAGGCAAATTATCATTACAAATAAAGAAAAAAAGCCCCCAAAATATGCAAAGCAGAAAAAAATATTGTAGCAATAAAATACCCAATAGTCATATGTACGTTACTAATGACATTTATATTTTTGTGACTCTACGAGTAAAGCATTCTCAATATAGGGCATTTAGATACAGATACAAAGATGAATTAAAGAAAACATTTTCTGGGACATTACCACCCAGCTAACTATTGTTAATTTTCGATGTGCATGGAAATGTGTATGTAGCCTACATTTATATTGTGAATGAGCTTATACTGTAAATATAGTTTTATATTCTGCTTTTTCACTTAATATTGCCTCATGAACATTTTTCTAGATCACTAAATGCTTTGGAAATATAATTTTAATTGAATCGTTTGTATGCACAAGACATTTAAGATGTTTCCAGTTTTTAACTGTTATGAATAATAGAATGATAATCTTGTACATAAATCTGAATTTTTGATGATTCCGTTAGTGGAGATGCCTAAATGGGGATGGTTTTGGTCCAAGGACGATGAACCCCCGTAAGACTATTAATGTGTGTTACTGTGTTCAAGTACTAAATAAATTCTGCTCATGGTATAGATGCACACGTATCAGTGAGAGAAGTGAGAGACTAAATAAAAAAAGTGAGAGGCAATTTTGCACAGTGGGTAGAACAACCCCTGTAGAGAGACCGTGTTTGTGCCTGAGCGTGGCTGATTGCCATCGGAGTGACTTTAGGCAAATCATTAAACTCATGTTTACCTCTCCAAGAAAAGGAAATAAACACTAACATTGTAGGATTAATCGAGACCATTAATATAAAGGATGGATTTCCCTATTTGGCATAGAGTAGGCATGCAATCAATATTTGACTATAATCTAGTTTTATTATGAATTTCTCTGAATAATAGCAAAATTGAATACGTTATAAATGTCTATTGGCCATTTGTTTCTTCTTCTGTGACTATTTTTCAAGTCACTTGTATTTTTTATTAAATTGGGATATGATGGAGAGTGGGATAGCACTTTATTAAATAACATCTCTAATCTTACTTTGTTTCATTTTGTGTGTTTCCAGTTCCTTTTTAAAAATTTCAAAAAAAACAAAGTGACTTTATTTTTTTGTTTTAAATACATGTCCATTGTAAAAATTCAAAAAATCTGGGGAAAGAAACAAAATGTAATTCCCAATCCTGACACTAAGAGTTAGAGATAATCTATATTCATATGTGGTACACATGTCAAAGTATTTTTTAATTATAAAGTGGAATTCCTGTCTTATCAGCATCATATTTTTAATATGGTTTTATTGATTTTCGAGAGACATAGAAGGGAGAGGAAGAGAGAGAGAAACATTGATCAGCTGCCTCCTATACACCCACCACTGGAGATCAAGCCTGCAACCCTGGGCACGTGCCCTGACTGGGAGGCAATCCGGCGACCTCTCGGTGCATGGGAGGACGCTCAGCCAACTGAGTCCCACCGGCCAGGGCTCAACGTCATATTTTCAGGTCAATAAATAACACCAGTAGATAGCCACATTGTCAGAATAGCATCTTGATATGCCTTTGTGTAAGTGATGTAATCAGTCTTCCGTTGACAAATTTCTGGTTTCGGTTTCCAGATGTTGCATTGCTGAGCAAGGTTGCTCCATGGAGCAATGCTACCATGAACATTATGATTTCTTGTGAAAAAGTTTTATATTTTTATATTATAAAATCTATGTTTCCATTGTGATTTTCCTTTTAAAAAGGTGACTTTTTTTCTGGAAAAGTACCTAAAATTAGATATTATTCTTCTGCATTTTTTCCTAATTTGGTTTATAGATTTTTTTTTGTCCTTTCAGAATTTTATGTTAGTGCATAGTGCATATTGTGATAGGAGGTACTAGTCTTGGAAGAAAACAAAATTAACGATTTCTTAGAAAACTGCCCCTAATTCTTATATTGTATGTGATTTTGAAAGGAGAAATGTAAGTCATTAACTCATTTGGGCTATTTCAAATATCAGTAAATTCTTATTAGGAGAAGCAAACGGAGGTTGAGTGTTTGATCTGAGCCTGAAAATGAGGTAATCCATGCCCTCATGTATAATCTAGTAAGGAAGATGAGGCCTAGAGCACAGCCTTGAGGAATAAATTATAGGCTAATGCATGCATAAAGGCGAGAGGTAGCTTCAGAAAACGTGCTGACATATTGAGAACCGCTAGGTAGTAATCAGGGCAAGTTCCCTTCGACGTGACAGGTGAACCAAGATGAAAACAAATTGAGGTCGGAGGTGAGCGAAAGGTGAGAGATGGCATCACCCCTGGGAAGCAGCCCCGTCCTCGGGAGGAATTCCTTTAGCAACGTTAAAGCTTTTCTTCACCAGCAAGAGCAGTGAAGAATCCTTTCTTTGGAGGGAAATAATTTTACCTCTAGTCTTACTTAAACTTCAAGAAAGAAGCCAGTCGTTAACTCATAATTTAATATGCAAGGGTTTTAAACTGTCTGTTCTAACCAGCAAGAGATGGTGGTTGTGGGAACCATGTTAAATTAAAAGGAGGACAAGGATACGATTTTTCTTGGACAGCCATCTTTCTGATCTTCGAATTTTGAGATTTGCGCTAGTCATCGAAGACACTGAATAGGGAATGTATTTCCTGAGGGACATCAGCCATCACCGAGTAGACATCTACAGTCCCAAATGAAATGCGTGAAGACAGAAAGGCGTGGTTCCTGATGTAGCAAAGTAGAGGAAGGTGATCTCAAGTGTCTCCTGAAGCAAGCTGCCTGCTCTCGGGATTCCAGACAACCTTGGAAGGCAGGCGTGGCACAGGGACTGAAACCAAAATGGACAGTTTCACCCGCACCCATGAAGCCAGGTGACTGTCCCCCTTCACCTGGAGAACTAGAGGCATCATCTCTGAAGAGAGTCAACCAGCAGGCTCTGGGTAAAATAGGGGCGCTGACGTTAGAATGGAGGGACTAGGAGAAAGCCTGCATTCAGAAAGGTGAGATCCCCGCCCTCTATTTCCACCCAGCTCCTCGGCCACTGACAGTCGGGTTATACACAGGAGGCAGGAATCTGGAGGCAACTTCTCTTGAGAAACAGAAAGGCCACAGCGGGAAGGAGTACAGATACTGCTATTGGGAACCTCCCACAGGAAGAGATAGCTTGCCACTCAGTTGCTCTTACACTGAAGCCCACTCGTTTGGGCAAAATAAATGTACACAAATGCAAATCTAATATATAAAAGGCCAGTGGCCCTAACGCAGGAACGACCAAACGACCGGTCACCATGAGGTGCATTGATGGGTCCCACGGCGGTGGCAGGAGGGACTCTGGGTCTTGTGCAATTTCGTGCGCTGCGCCTCTAGTGTAATCATGATATACCACTTAGACAGCAAGGATCAATATGTAAGTAGTCTTTATAACATAAATACTGATAACGATTTAACCACAAGTTAAAATGCTAATAATGACATTGACAAGGTGGAGATGGGAGTAGAGGGCATATTAAAAGAGTTTGATCTTCCTCTACCATAATGGATCAGTATAAATTCTTAATTGATGAAATATGAGGTATTGATGTAAGCAAATTAAGAAATACAAAGATAAATACCAGAAGAAATAGCTTTAAAATTTTTGAAAGTATTTGTCGCTGCTCAGCTGGGTAGGGAGTCCAGGGGCAGAGGACTGCCAGTTGTCATTATTATGCCTTTTGAAACTATATGATTTTAATCGTGTGCCATTAAATGAGCTGGGTACTTAAAAGAAACTACTCTCTATTATAGAAATTATATGTGGGGTTGCTCCATTAACAGCCTGTGCTGGCCTAAAATAGACAACTCGGTAACTATTCGGTAAATGAATGATGGCCTTTTTAAAAAGGGATTTGATCATTATCATTGTTGTCTGGTTGGAGAAGCCATCTCTGTTAGAGTAAGTTGCTACTTACTCTGTCTGCTGCTCGAGTCTCTGCCATGTAGACCCCTCTTCCAGATAGCTCACAATTTCTGATATATGTTACTTTACATAACTTTTTATTTTCACTGTTATGTTTAAATATGGAGTTTCAGACAATGTGAAGGTTATACAATCAAAACAAGCTCTAGCAGTAAGAACCTCCAACATTTCTTATTTTTGTGCTCTCACTTCTCTAGATCTGCCATAGCTCAGCTCAGTCAAGAGAAGAGGTACGCATACGGCAAGCTGAAAAAGTTACAGGAAAGAAACGATGAGTTGGAGGAGCAGTGCGTCCAGCACGGGAGACTCCATGAGATCATGAAGCAAAGGTAAGAAAGCTTTAACAGTCACCTGACGCGCCCTATAAACCTGTTTGGTTCATAAACAGACTAGGAATTGCTGTGCAATAAATAGAATCCATGATTACTCGGCTACTTAAGGGATGTGCTCCAAACCCCATACGTTTATGTATTTATGCTTTCTCTGCTTAGGCTATTCTTAAAATACACAGAGAACAGTTAAGATGAGAGCACACCTGCTCTTAACTGTTTTCTAGAGACATGGGGGTAGCTGTAATACAGAGCACCGTAGGAAAACCGTCACCTTTAAAGTGTATTTTGGTAATGTGACGTGGAGGAATTTCAAAAGTTCTCCTCCAGAAATTAGGTTCTGTAGGCTTTTTGTAAGATGAATCATGCAGCAGCCCTAAGAAGGTCAAATATCTAAGCAGAGGTGGTACTGAGAGTGTTGCTAGAGTCAGGACTGGACTCCAGACCGTCTGGTTCTCCTCAGTGGTGTTACTGTGAGCAGGTTCCTTACCCTCTCTCAGCATCGGTTTCTTCATCTGTATTGGGGCTAATAATACCCACTTTGCAGTTGAACATAAAGATCAAATGTAACGTATAGAAAGCACGTGGCTCATACTAGCCATCTACTCGACAGCATCATGACATGGACTCTTTTTCCAGATGAAGAAGTGCAAGCTCAGAGAGACTGATGAATTTGCTCAAGGCGGCCGATTAAGTGTAGGGTTCCAACTTGATCTTCATCTTTTGACTCCAAACTCCTTTCCTTTTCTGTGCAGTATTTTTATGATAAACACAGCCCCTTACTTCCTGTAGATGTATCATCTATAATTTCTGTGTAAGGATGAATTCCAGTGTTTTGCACCACACAGTAAACAAGTCTCCATGGGTGCTGGCGTCCACACTGCACACGTGACAACAGCAGTCAGCCTTCCGGGGGGTGAGGGTGGGGAGTGTTTCTGCCAGGACCAGAGAGTAAAATATTTTGGGCCTTGGGAGCCACACGTGGTCTCTGTCCACACAGTTGTCTTCGTTTTGATTTTGACTTGGTTTTTACAACCTTTATATCAACAAAAACCATTCCCAGCAAGAGGGCCAACCATTACATTTGTATTTTGCTTTCAAGTCCCCAAATGCACTCACACTATTGTCTTACCTTGAAGCAAAGCTGGAACGTAGCTGTTGGTATCTCTGCCGTTTGCAGATGGAGAAGGCAGGCTCAGAAAGATCAGGTTGCCAGCTGAGGGCCAGATAGCAAATTCATCAGTCATTCACTCGACAAATATTTATTGATTGCTATTATGTGTCATGTTCTGCACCACCTGCTGGGAACATAACAGCAAAGTAAATACCGTTCCCAGTCTAATCGGGAAACTGGAAGAGCTTCCAGCCTTACGGGGCAGATGAATGTTGATGAATAATTTTATAAATATCTAATCAATTGCAGTAAGGATCAGTTCTATGAGAGAGAAATGTACTTTGCGGTGCAAGCGCATTTTAGAAGGAGATTTGTCTTGACCAGGAAAAGTTTGAATGAGAAAATAACAGCTGAAATGAATCTGTCAGCAACAGCGTAGGGATCACTAGCCTTCGATAGCAGGATGGGCACTGTGCCCCAGCCACAGCCTCCTTGTGTGGCTCAGGAACCTACACATGCTCGTCACTTACATGTCTGTGGCTGTTTCCACACGACACTGTCAGGGTGGAGCAGTGGAGTCAGAGACTATGACCTATTGGCCCACAGTCTAAAATATCAACCATCATTGGGCTTAATGAATGGACATCACTGGTTACATTTACAAAAATATTTTTAGTAGAAGATTCAGTGCAGAAACCATATCAGAGTGGACTGAAAAGTAAGTGTGAGTAGAAAAACTGACATAGCAGATTTCAACCTCTATTTTACGAGATGTGAAAGGGAAAGTGGAAAAAGCAAGGCAGACAGACCAGCCAAGCGGTGGCGGGAGGGTGTACTGGGAGGGGCATTTGGGAGCAGATAATTTTTTGTGTTAAGTCAGAGTGGATGTGAATGTAGTAAATTCTGGTTGCCGAGGTCATTAAAGTTGTAAAGTCAGGAAAACGACATTTTTCAACAACTGGTTTGGAGCTCCTGGTGTCTACAAGAGGCCATCCAGAAAATTCATGTTAAGGATAGCAGTGGCATTATTTTCTATTTATGTTTTATTTTTATTTTTTAAACATTTTTATTGTTGATAGTATTACAGATATCTTCCATTCCCCCCTTAATCCCCTCCTCCTAGCCCCTATCACACTCCCAGGTCTTCACCATATTGCCCGTGTCCATGGGCTATGCATACAAGTATACAAGAGGCCCGGTGCACGAAATTCATGCATGGGTAGGGTCCCTAGGCCTGGCTGGCAATCAGGGCTGATCTGTGGGGTGACTGGTGGGGCGATAGGGGGGCCCCCGCTGCACCCAACTTGGCTGGCCTGGGCCTGCAGGCTGGGGCGGCTCCTGCATTGAGCCTCTGCCCCTTGGTAGTCAGTGCACGTCATAACGACCGGTTGTTCTACCAGCTTTTCAGTCAATTTGCATATTAGGCTTTTATATATATATAGATAAGTTCTTTGGTTTATCTCTTCTCATCCCCCCAACCCCACATCAAGGTATGTCAGTCTGTTCCATGCCTCCATGCTTCAGGTCTTATTTTGTTGGTCAATTCATTTTATTTATTAGATTCTACAAAGAAGTGAGATCATGTGATATTTGTCTTTCTCAGATTGGCTTATCTCACTTAGCATGATAGTCTCCAGGTCCATCCATGCTGTCCCAAAGGGAAAGAGGTCCCTCTTTTTTACAGCTGCCTAGTACTCTGTTGTATAAATGTCCTACTAGTTATATTGTAGAGTGAGCATCGGTTCGTGTATTTCCCCGTAGAATATAGATCCGTGTGAGCCCCACAGTGTATGCAGAGGCAACGAGCCCTCGAGCCAGTGAAGACCGCTGAGCGGGCTCACGTGGACTCATGTGGTCAAGTTCTCTGTCACAACCCCCAGCAGTCTGGCTGTTCTGTCACTTATACAGCGTCACATCGCTTTTTCTTTCTTCTGTTAATTATTATCTAAATTGTTCACATAAAAACTATTGACTGAAGACATGGAGCTGCTGATTGAAAGGTAACTAATAGTGAGTTTAAAATTGGTCTTCTATAAACTAACCTCAGAATGATCTTTAATAAATCGGTAGTATTTTTCTAATAGGAATTTTATTCCCCGGAAACAAATGTTAAAATAGGAAATAGATGGTTGATTTTTATCTCATTTGACATTTCAGACTGGGGAGGATTAAGACTGTTCACTATTTTCAGAAAGTACTTGAAAAGAGCAGCCTGTGCTGAAAGTCTCTCCCTCCGTTTGGGGCAAGTGCATATTATAGAGGAAAAGCAATTTCATGAATTGTTTTCCATAGGTGTAGCATGCAGACTGTTGGTGATGGGAACTTAACTGATGAAAGGGAATGTTTGGTTTGGGATAATATCTTTATGAAATAGAGTGATATTTTCTGAGCGTTTTTTCTAGAAATTAATTAATTTTGCAAATGGCTGTTACCCATGAAGTGTAGTGTGTGTGTGTGTGTGTGTGTGTGTGTGTGTGTGTACAGGGGCAGAACCACTTACCATTTTGCAGAAATGTAGAAAAGCAGCATTAAGTGGCTTTTGAGCCACTCTTTCCCATGATATGCAAAGTTTTGTTGTTAATCCCCACTTGAGGGTATTCTTTCCATTGATTTTTAGAGAGAGAGGAAGGAAGGTGTAGAGCCGTGGTTCTCAACCTCGGCTGCACCTTAGGATCACCTGGGAATCTTTTTAAAATCCCAATTTCTGGGCCTCATCCTCCGGAAATTCTGTTTCTTTGTTACTAATGTTGTGGCCCCACCCCATCACAAAGAAACAGAATTTCTGGCACCCAGAGTATGTCTTGGGCCGAGGGTTTGAGAATCAGATCTGGGGAGGCTGGCGGAGTTGGGCAGATGTGCGTCCGTCCCTCCTGCGCCACTGGCTGTCATTTAACTATGAAAACGTTGCAGCCATCTGGAGAGCAGAGCAGCTGAGGTCTGTGCTGGCTGCGCTGGGAAGTATGGAGACCAGCTTGACTTCATAGATCCTGGGTTTTTATAAAGGAGAGCGGTCAGGTCCGGCCGGCGAGGCTCAGTGGTTGAGCGTCGACCTATGAACCAGGAGGTCACAGTTCGATTCCCGGTCAGGGCACTTGCCGGGGTTGCGGGCTCGATCCCCAGTGTGGGGCGTGCAGGAGGCAGCCGGTCCATGATTATCTCTCATCATTGATGGTTCTGTCTCTCTCCCCCTCTCCCTTCATCTCTGAAATCAATAAAAATATATATTTTTAAAAATAAAATAAAGGAGGTGGGTCAGGCAGTAAGGGCGTGGCGTGCTGCTGGGTGTGACTGCAGCCCGTTCCCGGGAGGCCGTCCCGCAGTGTCACTCAGTGTGACCTCGTGCCCCTGACCCGCTGCTGCTGGCTTTTATGTCGGTCCCTCCTTCGGGGGCAATCCCTGATTTTCACAGATAACCTCAGCTGCAGCAAGAACATTTCATAAAACGCCACAAAGTCCTTGCTGTTGGTATGTGGATCTTACTGTTGTTTTTTTTTAGAGAGAAAAACCAAATTACAGCCTCACCATCACAGAATCGTCCAATGTTGAAAGTTAATGGCTGATTTCTTCTGCACGAAGAAGAGCTTGCTAACCACCTGGACCACGTTAGGGTCGATTGTGAGCCACACGGCCTCCCTGCTTCGTAGAGAGGGTGGGCTGAGCACCTCCAGCAGTTAGAGCCGTTAGAGTCTGTGCTGATTTAGTTGGCGCATCTCCAGCAGCAGAGTCCATTAAAATTCAAATTCATTTCCTAATAATGGAGACAATCAATTTACATTAAACAAGGCCTAATTACAATTTCATGTACAATTTAAATTCTATAGGAACAATCAGTGAGCAATGAAGAGGGACCCTCGTTCTGAGGCAGAGGGATGTTTTCATAGGCTGC